AATTGTTCTTTTTTCATTATTATTCAGTAATTTTTTGCAATAAAATACTGTTAATAAAATGGGTTCTGCATTTTAAATTTCCATTAACTTTTATCATTTTTAATGAGTTCATGATGCACAATAATGGTCTCAACTCATAAGTTATCTAATAATATTATTAAAATTATCAATTAATATATTTATATTTAAATTTCTTATTTTTATTAGCGTTTATTAAGTTTGATTTTTAAGTGGAATTGAAACACATTTTAAATATTTAATATTTATTTTTAGTGAAAATTTTGTTGATTTTTAAATTAATAATTTTTTGATTGTTTAAAAATTAAAATAAGAGGCCTTGGAAAACCCAAAGGTTTCTCTCTAATAGCATGCAGCTTTATTAATCTAATCAAGGTAAGCAATGATTACTGTTTTATATTTTTAAAACAAAAGAAAATAAGAGAAAATGGAGAAAATAGATAAATAGCTTCTCTCAAAAGAGAGACATGCTGACATGGACCGTCCAATTTTATATATATAACCTGCTTAAAAGAAACTGTAATATTTTTTTTTCCCGGGGATTGAGGAGGGGGAAACATGAAGAGGCAAATAAAGACAACAAGATTATCTTTATTAAGGAACAAGCCCCCAGTACATGTTATTCCTCTCTACTCATCCCTAGCAAGATTATCCATCATCAAGTTTTCCAACCTTTTCTTTTGATCAGCAACACAGGAATTCATCAATACATTAATTAGAAAGAGAAACATTACAACCAGAAGTTGTGAAGAAACTGTCTAACCCAATGCAAGACAAACACACCCAACTGTATCACAATCTTTATTACAACTGAGCCCAGTACATCTGTTGTCTATTTACTCCTTGTTTTCATAAACCCTCTGCTAAACTATTGGCAGATCTCCTAACTCACTTGATTTGAATTATCATTATCTCTTGAAAGCCATTTGAAGTGCTTGAATTCATTTCTAAGCCTCCAAATCATCCCTTCACCTTTCTTTAACCACCCCACTACCAATTTTGTTTCACCTTCAAGAACCAATCTTTCTGCTCTCATGTCTCTAGCCATTTTTACCCCAAACACTGCAGAAAAAAATTTTGCAGTAACTGTATCACATTGTCCAATTGGACCTGAAAACAAAGCCTGTATGGTGCCACCCTCATCTCTAATGAATCCTTCAATTCCAAATGGACTTGGAAATCCCAAACTACTACTATCAAAGTTCAATTTGAACCACCCGACCATTGGAGGAGACCACACCTCAAGGGATTTTTGTTTCCTGGAGGGAGATCCAACAATTTCCCCCAACACCCGAAGAAATCTTCCACCTTAAAGTCAGCAAACAACTTCAAAGTCTTCACCGAAAAAGCTACTCTTAGTGTTATTACTTCTAACAATGCCTCCTTGCTCCTCTCCTTATCCTCAAAAATTCTTGAACATCGCTATCCGAGTGCACCTCCAAAGAATCTTGCCTCTCTTAGAAGTGCAACTCAACATAGGAGGGCTAAACAATATTTCAAAGCTTGCTGGAGGATTCCACTTGGAACAAAAAGGAGAGAACCACTCCCAAATGCAACAAACAAAAGGATAGGAGATTAAAAGATGGAAAGTAGTCTCACCATGCAACTTACATAAAAAACACTAGTTAACCCAAACTCGATTATCCACACCCTCTACATGCTGGACAACAGACTCTGGGAGGTGCAGCAAACTAGATACAAAGGAGATTTTTGACCCCCTAAAGTTCCTGGTGAGACCCAAGTTCCAACTCAACCCAGATTATGAGGGGTGAGAGAGAAGAAAATCAAATATAGGCTTATCTTTGAGATTGGACAGAACAAACAGGGAGGGATGAGCATCTTTTAAGAGGACTCCCCAATCCAAACATCTTCACAAAACATTGTCTTCAAATTCAAAGCCAAATGGTTTTTTTTTTCCAAAACCTTTTCTTCTAGTCACCTTCTCCCATTGTACTAAATGGTCTTTTTCCATTCCCTTGACTCCCATAGAGAATCTCTCATTACCTTCTCAATCCTTTTAACAATTGATTGGGCCATTCTGAAAATTGACATGAAATAGATTGGGAGTAAACCTGTTCATGGGCCGGGTATCCCGATGGGCTGGTCTGGCCCGACTTGTTCTAAGTCAGGCTTGGACATAATTTCAGGCTTGTGGGCTTGGGATCGGGCCTAAAACACCGGGCCCAACCTTTTTTCAGGGAAAAGCTCGACCCGAGCCTGACTTAATAATATATATTATATAATAAAATATATATATATATACAATATTTTTTCTTTGTTCCTCTTCTCTTTTTTCAAATAATAGTGAGATCTTTTATTATTTTTGAGTTTTGAGGGATTTTATTATAAATAAAACACTTTTTCTATTGAATAAACAAAGAAAAATGATCTGTTTTCAAAATTTTGATCGGGCTCGAGCCTGGGCTTCGGGCTTTATATGAGGGCTGGGCTTGGGCTTGGGCTTGAATGTATTCGATTGATATGGAGACAATGCCTGGCCTGAACCCGGCCTGTGAACAGGTCTAATTGGGAGGTTAGTTAAAGTGGATTTAATTAAAGTAATCCTTCCACCAAAAGATATATAATTCCATTTTCACCTAGCTAGTCTCTTCTCGAACCACTTAACCACTGAATTTCAAAAACTAGCCAATCTAGGGTTGTCCCCAAGGGGTAATCCTAAGTTTTTGAAAGGCCACTCYCCCCTCTCACATCCCAAAATCTCAGCCAAGGAACTCAACACTCCTTCTTCATGATTGATACCTGCCACCTTACTCTTATCCTAATTAACACTTTGGACACTCTCTAAAAAAGGTTAACCACCAACTTTAGGTTTGCAATTCCTTCTTTATTTTCCCCATAACAAAAGGTCAAGATATCATCTGCAAATTGAAGGTGAGTCACCAAAACTCTATCTCTTCTTACTGTCCAACCTCTGAAAAGCTGCAAACAATTGGATCTTGAGATCAACCTACTAAAAAACCTCAGCCACCAAGATAAATAGAAAAGGTGAAAGAGGACCACCTAAGTGCTCAGATCCCCTCCAAGGAATCAATCACTAACCCGTTAACAATGACTGCGAAGTGACTAGTTTGCAAACATCCTCTAATCCACTTGCACCGCAACCCTCCAAAGCCACTTCTTAAAATGTTAATTAGGAATTCCCAATCCACAAGATAATAGGCTTTCTCCAGGTCCAATTTAATTGCTATGACCTTTTTCCTGGATTTTTTTGGGCCTCTGCGCATTCATTCGCAATTAAAATTTGGTGAACAATTTGTCTATTCTGAATAAAGGCCCCTTGAGTCTGTGATATCAATGAGGGAAGCACCTTTTTGATCCTTTTTGGCACCAAAACAATGAATGTTGAGTTTCATACCTGGATTGATAATTCCCCTCCTACAAAACTTTCTGAATACTTTTATTAAATCCTCCCTAATTATTTCCCAACAATCATGAATGATAAAAGGCCATTGTAAATCCATCTGGCTCTGGAGCAAGTTTTCCAACCTTGGGATTCATTTTAACAAGCTATTCACTGCAGACACCAAAACTGTGATCTTGATGTCATGATGCAAAACTAATGGACCATCAGATCCATGATGCATCTGGCCTATTACGATCAGAGTCAACCTCAATCTTGATTCTCTCAAAGCCATGTAAACAGATCAGCTTGGGGCCATGGAAAAGAGCTAACATCTCAACTCTTAGTTGCATTTGTGGCCTGACTGGAATAGATGACGATGCACTTATTCTATGATCTCTATAATCTACTCTCACTCATGAAGGCTTTGAGTTATGGAGCACCAAAGTAGAGCCTAATGGCCCTGTGTGGGAGGGAAGATTAGTTCTTGATAAGCTGCCTTCTTCAATCACAGAATCAATGGAATGCCTTGAAACTCATCACTGATCAGAATTCGATAGGCCACTATGATGGTAACCAGGTGCACAATGAATTTTGATGATTGAATCTTGTTATTAGATCATGAAGTTACACATCAGCATATGATTTTGCCTCTATTTATTTATTGTTTTTTTTTTGGGGTGGGGGGAATTTAAATGTCTACTCTGGCCCATTGGGCGTTGGGAATTCTGTTAGGGTAGAATTGCTAGCTGCCATACAAGGAGTATTTCTTGCAAAGGAATTGGGTGTGGAGCAGCTGCTGATTGAAGGGGACTCTAAGTTAGTGGTGGAATGGTTAAATAATCCAGAGGATGTTGCGTGAGGTTACAAGAATGAGCTAAAAGAAATTCAAATAGCTGATAAGGAATATGTATGTAACAATACAGTGGGTGGTGAGATCAGCTAATGCCTTTGCTGATGTCTTGGAAAAACAAGGGGCAAATATCTGGGCTCAACTGTAATTTTGTATCAGCACTTATGCACTTTTTGCTTTAGCTTATGTGCTTTCTATTTGGAGAGGCGGCTCCTCACACCTTTCCAAGGGACTGTCATGTAATCTGTCTTTGATTTAATGAAAGTTTGATTTTTTATCTATCAAAAAACATGTCAACAAAGGCTGCTATTAAATGCCAAGAAAGAGCATAAACCGCTTCCAATTTCTTGAAATGAAATTGCAACAGATGAAGTAGTGATTAATTGTCTCACTACTGGCTTTGCATGTGATACTTGTGTTTGGAATAACATCCAAGTTCTGAACCAGGTTTAACTAGCCACTTGAACTGAGAAAACTGGGAAGTGGATCCTACTTCATGATAAGTGATTACTGGGAAGTTTTTGATGGTTTTAATGTTAAATTGTGTGGTTAAACTGGATTCTTTTCCAATTTCATTTGCAGTCTGCTTGTCAAAACATTGCCTTTAACAAGGAACATGAAAGTATTCCCTTAAAATCAACAGGCCAAATTCAGTAATTAATTCTTTTTATTTTTGATAAGTTTTTGACGTGGCATGTAAAAAGAATCTTGCCATGCTATCTGGTTCACCCTTGTTTTCTGCAYTGATTGAATATTCAACATTTTCAGGCCATTTTTGGTAAATGAATTGGAACCCCAACACCTTCTTCATGACAGAAGGAAGGTATATGAGGTATGTTTCCAAACACTTCATTCATCTGGGCTGCTATAATATCCATCCATGAACCATTTTAGATTGTATGGCATTTTGGTTGCAGACACGAACACACACACACACACATTTTATACTGAAGGAGAGAGGGTAACCCCTAGTTCTCTCATATCATGCTCCATCAAAATTACCTGAATGATTCTTTTCGGGAATGCTCTGAAAATCATAATTGTATTGCAAATTGTAGAAAAGGTACAACCAAAATGAGTTAAACTATTGTATCAAGTTTTTTTTTTTTTTTGAAAATTTCAAAAATTAAGAATTTTACATACATGCATACATTTGTACATATTATATATGTCCATATGTACACTAGAAGCATGATATGACATAACCAAGTTTAATTGAAAGTCAAATTAACTCAGATATGGTGCAAAATGAACTCAATAAGGTTTTTGCATAGGTATTTTTTTGATAGTAAAAATAAAATTTCATTAGGAAAAATTGTATCAAGTAAGCTATATAAATCTTATTCTAGTTAGGATTTCAAAACAAAAGTTGAAGGACTTTAAAAAGTGTATACAGTGGGAGATAGTGCTAGCTGTTTCTTGGGGTGCTAGGTACAAAAAGCCTATGATTTGGTGGATTGGAACTTCTTAATTGATATTATGAGGAGGCGTGGTTTTGGAAATTTGTGGTGTAAATGAATTAAGGGTTGTTTACAAACTAGTCACTACTCATAGGCAGGGTGACCCCCTTTCTCCCTTTCTATTTACTTTGATTGCTGAAGCCCTAAGCAAATTGATTTCTAGAGCAAATTGCCTACAATTATTCAGAGGTTGGTCAGTGGGGAGAGATAATATTTTGGGCACTCACTTGTAGTTTGTTGATGACATTCTGATATTTGGTGATGGAGACTGTAGGGACTAGGGAGTGGAAAACTTGAGGTTGGTTGTGAAATTTTTTGAGAGGATGTCTAATTTGAGGATTAATTGGTTAAAGAGCTTATTGGTTGGAACCAATATTGAAGAGGATGAGTTAAGGATTTTGGTAGATTCCCTAGCTTACAAGAAGGGAGAGTGGCCGATGAAATACTTAGGCTAACCCCTAGGAGATAACCCTAGATCTGCTTGCTTTTGGTCTCCAGTGGTGGAAAGAGTCGAGAAACGCTTGGTAGGGTGGAAAAGGATCTATATTTTGATGGGGGGGATAACTCTTATTAAGTCTACCCTAGCAAATCTTCCAGTGTACTACATGTCAGTGTTTAGGATGCCATAAGGGATAGTGAGGAAAATTGAAAAAATCATGAGGGATTTTCTTTGGGAGCTAGGGAAAAAAGAATGATCATTTGGTTAGATGGGAAAATGTGGTGAAATTGAAGGGAGAGGGGGGGTTGGTTATTGGTAATGTTAGGTTGAAAGGCGGCTTGCCTCGAGGGGCTCGGTACAAAGGCGGCTTGTAGGATCAAGAATGCATAATGTTTAAAATCACATTATCTATTTGAAATAATGCAATTGGGAAAAAAAATAAAGACAGAGAGAGTTTCACATGCTTGAATATGTTTTATATGTTATTCTTCATTTTATTTTTAAATTTTCATTTTAAATATATTTTAGATGTTATGTTTATGTATGTTAATTTGAGATAATAGTTTTTTAAAACATTTATTTTAAATTTTAAGTTTATATTTTTAATTAATATTGTGTTTAATGTTTTTAATATTTTGCATTTTTAATTTTCTGGCTTTTTTTTTTTGAAATTTTAGCTTTTTTTGCGTTTATGTGCCTTGCTACGAAAGGCGTGTGCCTTGTGCCTCATGTGCAAAAAGCCCCTTGTGCTTTTAAAACACTGCTATTGAGTGGCTTCATTTCTGATCCTACCCTTTCAGCATAAACATTACTGCCACACTCATTTTTTGGACATGTTTCTTGATTGCCCAACATTCTGCTCCATATAATGTGGTTGGCCTTACAACTCTTTTATAAAATTTTCCTTTAAATCTAAGTGGTATTCGTCTATCGTGTATGATTCCAGATGCACCCCTCCATTTGTCCATTCCACTCTAATTCTATGGGCAACATCCTCCTCAATCTCACCCTTGTTATGAATTATTGGACCAAGGTAATGGAAAATGTTACATTGCGTTATCTATTGACCTCCAACCCTAAGTGTATCATCATTTGCACTCCTATTCTTATTATTCTTATTCTTATTCTTATTCTTCTTATTATTATTAAGATTACATATCATACATTCTGTTTTAGTCCTACTTATTTTAAAATTACTTGTTTCTAGGGTATTTGTCCATAAACTTAATTTTGCATTTAATCCTTCATTAGTTTCATCAATTAAAACAATGTCATCAGCAAATGAAATGACTTTTATTGTTGTAATCATATGAGTATGGGCCTTGGCGCAATGGTTGGTTTGCTCCATTGCAACTTGGGTGACCATGGTTCAAATCTTGGAAGGCTGGCTGCATCTGTCCCTCAGACCCCACATTGGCAGGTGCCTCGTGCACTGTGCTGCCGTATAATAAAAGTAAAGTAAATTTTATATTTTAGAAAATTACCTATTAACTAATTCAGTCCTTTAGTGATTGCAAATTGCAAAATGTGAACCTGAATACAAACTGGTTGAACCATTGAAACAGGTGACCATGGTTGAGGTTCTCTTCTTATTGGTTCTTAAATGTGGTGTGGTGTGAGTTGCCAGTAAGGCTCCCTGCTCTTTGATCTATATTTTCTGTCTTCTTTCAGTAATAGTCTAATTGCCTCATAGACTCCTCTGTGCTTCTTTTTTAATTAATAATTTTTTGCTACCTACTTACCTGTCAAAAAGAAGTGGAGTTGCTACCAGGAAATTATTTATGTTGTAAATATTTGTATTCATGTTAATCTTGGAATTTTTCTGTTGAATAAGTACCATCATTTGCCAAACAATTTAAACTTAAGCTAATAGTTTAGTTGCTTTCCTTGTTTGCAACAGACTGACAGTGAATTGGAGACTAACACATGCCTTTTTTTATTGTAGCGTCTTGAAATGTATGGAATTCCTGTTCCAAGATATGCTCTTGTAAATAGGGAAGTCCCTTATGAAGAGGTGGATTATTTTGTTGAACAAGAAGATTTTGTTGAGGTTCATGGGAAACGCTTCTGGAAGCCATTTGTGGAGAAGCCTATTGATGGTGACTACTTCATCCCTTCTACTTATGAATACTCGTTTATTAGAGTTTTCACTGTTAAATTAAGGATAAGCTGTTGGGTTTTCTTTAGGAAGAAGACTGTGCTTTTATATGCTGCCTACATTTTTTTCTGGATTGGTAACAGTAAATTTTCTTAATTTCAAAGTTAAATGCTCATCTACAATGCATGCTGCTACATTGTGGATGTGCATTTTTTAATATTACAAATAAGATAATGTGGAATGATTTGGGCATATCCTAGTCCTACTTTTGATAAATGAAGCAGAACCCTAGTAAAAAGACAAAGAAACCCCTTTACAATGATAAAATTCAATACACAAGGGTATTTTTATCTTTTAAACATGTATGCTGTTTCTAGTAATGCCCCCTTCATCGAAAAAAGATATGCCCAAAGCGCTCACCAAAAGGATTATGTACGTTTTTTTTTTTCAATATTTTTATGCAATAGACTTTTGATTTATATATACAATCATGACACAATTTTGTGCTGTTGTTAAGGTGATGATCACAGCATAATGATATACTATCCAAGTTCTGCAGGTGGAGGTATGAAGGAACTGTTTCGTAAGGTGATTTTTCTTATATATGCTTGGTGCTTTTAATTTTAGATAGGCATTTTCAGATGTAATTAATTGCCTCGATTTGGTTGAGTGGCATCTAGGACATTTATTAGAGATAGCAAATCAGATTTTACAGTTACAATGGGTCTTCACCAAGGTTCAGCACTTATCCCTTATTTATTTGCACCGATCATGGAAGAATTGACTAAACATCTTCACGAGGTCCCATGGTGTGTGTTTGCTGATGACATTATTTTAATTGATGAAACTAATGAAGGATTAAATGGAAAATTAAGTTTATGGACAAATTTTTTAGAAACAAGAGGTTTTAGAATAAGTATAATTAAAAGAGAAAATATGCTATTTAAATTTAATAATAATAGGAGTGCAAATCAGGGTACACTTAGGATTGGAGACCGAGAGATAACTCAATGTAACCTTTTCTGGTACCTTGGTTTGACAATTCATTACAAGGGGGAGATTGAGGACAATGTCATCCATAGAATTAGAGCAGTAGGGTAAAAGGTAGGGGTGCAACAGGAGTCTTGTAATAAGTGAAAACCAATTCAATTAAAAGGAAAATTCTATAAACAGTTGTAAGGTCAGTTATGTTGTATGGATCAGTGTTGAGCAGTCAAGAAACATGTACAAAAAATGAGTGTAGCAGAAATGTGTATGCTGATATGATGAGTGGAAAAACTAGAAGGGTAGGTCTGAAATGAAGTGTTTTGAAGGAACCTAGGAGTAGCTCCAATAGGTGTGATAAAGTGAGAGCAAATATGTTGAGATGATTTGGTCATGTGCATAAGGACCATTGACCACACCTGTAAGGAGTGATCTTTGTCAGATTGCATGTGGTGACATGATATATTTAGACTTCCATGATGACAATTTTAACCTTGCCAATCATATGGCATGCTCAAACCTTTTTAAGTGGTTTAGATTAGTATTTGTATCTTTAGTTTGACTTATTTGTAGGGCATTTAGTTTGGGATAAAGTGGTGGTTGAAACTTGAACAGATTGAAAATGGAGTTTTTTTCCTTCTTTTTTTTTTTTGGTTTTTGGTGAAGTAATCATATATATTTATAAAAAAAAATCATATATTAAACATGAAAGAGTTGGGGGGGGGCAGTATGGGTAATCTATGGATGGGGCACACTTGGCATTTTAAAATAATAGGTTCAGTGTATATGTGAAATGTCAGGGGAATTTATATCACTGTGAATCCAGTTGTCATAAACAACATCTCTTTGTGAGTTTTGACTTGAGGGTTGTTAGAATAACTATTTTTTTTTATAGTGTTTATGTTCTTTAAGTGCCACAAGGGCATAAGGGCCTTTTTCTTCTTTTTTAAGTGTTGCCCTATATATAATAAAGAAATCTGGCGCCACCAGATCTGATTCATTCTCTCAACCTTTTCTCTTCTCTTTCCGTTCTCTCTTCTCTTCTCTTCTCTTCTCCTCTCTCTCTCTCTCTCTTCCATATTTCTTCTATTTTTTTTCTGTTAATATGGTATCAGAGTGGTTCTACTGTGCTCAAGAGCAGATCGAACAAGATTTTTTCCTTCATCGTGCTGTCCTCTCCAGACTGAGATCAGAAAAATAAATCTACAACTGATACGAGTTTTTTTTTTATTTTTTATTTTTTCATTTTTTTCCCTTCCTTTTCATGTACCAAGAAAAAAACTATGAATTAAGGTGGCTGAATGCTGTGAAAAAGGATTGTGAGTTTCAAAACTCTTTTTTGTGGATTGTGTGATCCTTGTACCTGAGAGTGGAACTTCTATAGGTCATTGATGACCTGGTTTTGCCTTTTTTTGGTGTGGAAATATTGTTCATGGTCTCTCCTGGTAGTAGGTGTGTTTAAAAGGTTTGGAAGAGTGGTAGATTGTGACTGTTAAGCCTATTTAGCACTGAAATCAACCTGGATTTTTTTTTTCTTTTTTTGGGAAAAATTGGGGCTGATCTGGCTTTAGATTGTGTCCAGACTGTATTTGCTTTTCTCTTGGGACTGAATCCTAGGTATGAGTCTATCAAGGTACAAATCTTGGGAAGTAAGGACTTACCTTCAGGGATGAGGTTGCATCATTAGGGACTTTGTGGCATCATGTCCAGTCTGTCAACGCTAAAAGTATGAAGCACAATCCCCAGCTGGCCTCTTGCAACCTCTGAAGATACCAGAATTAGTATAGGATGAAATCTCCCTCGATTTCATCCCATTGACTCGTCCATACACAGCAGCATCGGTAGCAGTGGTATTCATAAGAAAAATTACACGCCTTCATGGAACACCCAAAGTTATTCTCTTAGATTGTGATCCTACATTCTTAAGCAATTTTTGGTGTGGATACTTAAAACTTCAAGGATCAACACTCAATACCTCTACCAGCTACCACCCTCAGACGGATGGCCAAACCGAAGTCGTTAATAGATGCCTAGAAGCATATTTGTGATGCTTTGCTTGAAGAAGACAACCCACACCAATGGGTTCATTGGATTCCATGGGTTGAACTATGGTATAATTCCACATTCCACTCTTCCACGGGCATCAGAGAGGCTCCACCTCAATAACCACGGTGGGCACCATTGACCACAAGAGACAACATTCTTAAAGAGCTGAAGGCAAATTTATTGAAAGCACAACAACAAATGAAAAACCAATATGATAGACATCATCGTCATGTTGAACACAAGGCAGGTGATTTGGTCTATCTAAAGCTCACTCCCTACCGGCAAGGTTCAAAATTTCGATACAATATGCCTCGTATTGGGCGTATTGTATTGTATCTTTGGGGTCTTGATACACCTGTTTATAGGTGTTTCAGGACCCCTCTTTTTTTAATAAAAAAATATGTATGAAAACCTCCTCAAAACCAAAATTTGAAAAAAAAACTAAAAAAATATAACCCGTGTGCTTTTTGTTACCAAATACTAATACGCCTATGTTTTGGTCATAATTCACAAAAAAGAACTTGAGTAAAATTAGGGTTTCCCTATTTAGGGTGTATAAGTATGCACTATGTCTGCCAAAACCTCTTAATTATATTCCTTAGAGGAAATACCCTTTGATTTTGATTTTATGTGAAAGAGTTGCTTCGTAAAGGTTAAATCCAATAATAGGTATAAGCAGACCCATCAACTTGGACCCTTAGTGGGTTATACCCATGAGCGGGCCCCACAATTGGTAAATAGGTCATGGGACCCACACACCTTTGGGTACTTATGTATTTTAAACTTACACATCATAACAGTGGGTCCCGTTAATCAGTAAAAAGTGGGACCAACTTTGCTGATTTAGTGGTGGGCATGACCTACTTAAATATTTAATAGTGAGCCCTACTGATAAGTGGGACCCACTATACTTATTTGGTAGTGGGCATGGCCCACTTTAACATTTTAATGGTGGGCCCCACTAATTAAATAGGACCCACTATACTAATTTGGTAGTGGACATGACCCACACTATGATAACTTGATAGTGGGTGTGGCCCACCTTAATGTTTTAAACTTGAATATTTTAACAGTGGGCCCTGCTGATGGGTGGGAGCCACTATGTTGATTTGAAAGTGGGCATGGCCCACTTTGATATTTTAATTATTTTAACAGTGGGYCCCATTGACAAGTGGGACCTACTATGTCAATTTGATAGTGGGCATGTCCCACTTTAACATTTTATAGTTATTTAACAGTGGGCCTCGCTGATAGGTGGGACCCACTATGTTGATTTGATAGTAAGCATGGCCCACTTTAATGTTTTAAACTTAAATATTTTAAGTTTTTAACAGTGGGCCCTGCTATTAAGTGGGACCCACTATGTTAATTATGAATTCGAATATTTAAACAGTGGGCCCCACTGATATATGCTGTTTAAATAGTAGGCATGGCCCACTTTAATATTTTAAGCTTAAATGTTCTAACAGTGGGTTCCACCGATAAGTGGGACCCTTGGGACCCACTATGTTGCATGGGTCCCACCAAATCAAATTACTTAAAACCTGTTATAGGTATGGCCCACTACAGCATTAACTCATTATTAAACTTTGCTTTTGTTTATGGTGCATGGGACCCACCAAGCCAAAAACAATTCAGAATTTTGTAGCAGTGGATTATTCATTACTGATTTTCCTTTGAGGTTGATAAAATCCACTGAATAGTGGGTGGGACCCACCAAAACAGCACAACTGTTATAACAGTGGATCCACTATGTTGATTTCAACAGTGGGTGATGACCCACCAATCAATTTATATTTGGCTTCGAATGTGGTGGACAGGATCCAGCGATTGCAACACTGTTATCTGCTGTTGCAAGGTAATTTGATGGGGACCCACCAATTCATGATAGTTCACAGCTGTCAATGGTGGGGCCAAATTATATTATATATATGTTTTTATAATTGAGGTGGATAGGATCCACCGAGTGAGTCTTAACTTATATATTTTAGTTTTGTTTACAGTCAGTGGCATAGTTTTATCCTTTCAAGGTGGATAAGATCCACACCATATGATAGTGGGTCCCTCTGTAACACTTGGCAGCAAGCTGAAAACAGTGGGTCTCAAGAGTTTGTCAATAACAGGTGATAATATGTACTGTTACAGGTGGCAAACCAGCACATCTGTCCCCTTCTCAGGTCGGTGACAGTGCTGTAACAGGTGGCAAATGTGCTGTTACAGGTGGTAAACCAACACATTTGTCCCATTTTCAAGTGTATTGGCAGTGGGTCCCAAAGGATTACTAAATGTTCTGAAAATCGTAATCGTATCGTAAATCATAAAGGGGTTTGAATCGAATCATATTGTGAACCGTATCGTAAATCCTAAGGTTTTTTCAAAAGCTGTTAAAAACTCTAAAATATACCTAAGTCTCTCAAAAAATAGAGAAAATGACTTTGCACAAGCTTTCTAACCCATAAACATCTTATAACTATAAAGTAATGATAGGCTTATAGTTACACCAGTGTCAATAAAAATCAATATCTTGAAATATGAATGAATATGAGCTTTACATGACA